TTCTGCTCATGAGCACAGTGTAGCGCAGTGGATGACAGATGGCAACATAGCGGTCATAGGACATGAGAGCCAGGAGGATACACTCAGCACAACCCAGAGACAGGTACAGGAAGTGCTGGGTGGCACAGCCCACAAATGAGATAGACTTCTTGCCAGACAGGTAGTTGGCAGCCATCTTGGGAATGGTTGTGGAGACATACATCAGATCCATGAGGGACAGCTGGCTGAGCAGGAAGTACATGGGTGTGTGGAGTCCGGGATCCCCACAGATGAGGACGATGGTGAGGCTGTTACCACTCACTGCGGTCAGGAAGACGGCCATGATCAAGAAGAACAGACAAAGGTGTTTGAAGGAGTCATCAAAGAGCCCCTCGAGGATGAAGTCTGCCAGAGAGGTCTGATTCCACTCCCACATGCTCCTTCCTCAGTTCCTGTGGAAACAGCAGGAGATGAAGTGTGATGTGGGAAATACAGTTTGGAGAGATGACTCACGGTGAAGAGCCCTGGCTGCACTTTCAGAGGATCCAGGTCATTCCCAGCACCCACATGGGAGCTCACAGACATCTGTAACTCCTTAACACCCTCTTCTGAGTTCTGAAGGCATTGCACATGGTGCACTTACATACATACCAAAAACAATTCGTACACATAAAATAAAAATAAATCTTTTCTAAGAAAAGAAATACTACAAGCTCACATCGAGCACTTGAACTAAAAAAGAGGTTGTAAAGAGAGTTTGTTTTTTGTTCTTTAATCTAGTTTTAATTTTTATTGTGCATATGCATTTTCATTACAGGGTATGTGATATATGGATATTTTCATACAAGTTTACAATCATATCTAATTATTTAGCAGCTCTAATTCAAATCCTCTTTTTTTGAGATAGTGTCCCACTGCAACGCCCTAGCTGCTCTGGCAGTCACTATGTAAACCAGACTGGTCTCAAATTCACAGAGATCCAGCAGCTATTACCTCCTAGTACTGGGATTAAAAATCTGCACTACCACATCCTGTCAAATAATCTCCTTTAATTTTTTTAATTTTACATGTATCAGTGTTTTCCCTGGATGTACATTAGTGCATGCATGTTGTGCAATGCCTGCAGAGGCCAGACAGGACAACAGAACCCCTGGAACTGGAGTTGGGGGTGGTTGTTGCATGTGGATGCTGGGAACCAAACCCAGTTCCTCTGGAAGAGCAGTAAGTGTCCTTAAATGCTGAGCCATTGCTCCAGCCCC